CCCTGCACTCACCGGGAAATTATCCGCAATGTGGGAATCTCCGGGGCCAGCAGGCGAGGGGAGGGAGGTGCCGGGTTTGCCCGCTGGAATCATAGGCAGCTCGTTGACGATGCAGGATTCGGGGATCAGCATCTGGGAATTCCAGGCATCTGCAGGAAAGTGAGGTGAAGGGAGTGAATTTCCACCAGGACAAGATGTAATTAGGACTGATACAACTTGCGTAGGAGGCACTTATTAGAATTATCAATTATTATTTTATTAGAGGATAAGAAAAGTCACAAATGAGGGGCAGCCATTTGGCAGGTCGGTGCTAATGGATCCATGAAGCTCATCCGGCAGTCGCCACACACTCCCACCACCCTTTGTGTAAAGAAGCGCCGCCTGTGAACTTTTAAATGCACTTCCACAAATACTTGGTCTCTGTTGCAAATTACAGGGAGTTGGAAAAAAGTCTGCTGCATCCTTTGTCAAAGGAGACACTGCCATGAGCCGACAGAACAAAAATGACATCCTTCTTTGTACACAGAGCCTGTGACAGTTTTAAAAAACAATGTTTTTGTTTCTAGGACACACATGGAAGGACAGCACAGTGGTCAGCATTGCTGCCTCACAGCACTGGGGCCCTAAGTTCACGGTGGCGCTTCTTTACACAAAGGCTGGTGGGAGTGTGAAGCGACTGCTGGACGAGTTTCATGGATCAATTAGTGCCGAACTGCCAAATGGCTGCCTCTCATTTGTGGACGGATGAGAGGACATGTGGACATTTGTGGACAAATTGTGGACATTTGTGGACGGTGCTGTCTGTGTGGAGTTTGCATGTTCTCCCCAGGTTTGTGTGGGTTTCTTCCAGGTGCTCTGGTCTCCTCCCACAATTCACAGACATGCTGGTGGATTAATTCTGGCCCTGGTGCGAGTGTGTTTGTGTCTGTCCGCCCTGCCATGGACTGTCTAGGGGGTACCCCGCTTTGCGCCCGCTGCTGGCAGAGATCCACCCCTCCCGTGACTCCGTACTGGAGAACGTGGGTGGAGACGGGCGGACGGATGGTTGGGTACCCAAGCGCGCTCACCCAGCTCGATGGAGATGACGTCCACGCTGCGCTGCGCGGGCTCCGTCCTGACGCCGTCCAGGCCGCTGATGTCGTACACCACCTGGTACACGGCGGGCGGGGCGCAGGGGGGCCCCCCGGGGGCCGGCTCGCCGCCGGGGGGGCTGTCCGAGCGGGGGTCCTCGGAGATGCCGCTGTCGCTCTCGGAGGGAGACTCGAGGGGCGCCCCGGAGGAGGGGTACACCTCATTGGGGTTGATCATGGCGTGAAGGATGTCCTCCGACTCGCTGTCGTTCAGCCCCTGCAGGCCGAGATTTTAAGCCGTGACCTCAGCTCCGCTAAGGCCTGGAGAGACTCACGCAATCCCATTCGATTTTCAGGCCCCGAGAGTTACATTTTTTTAAATTTAATTGAGCTACTGCTTTTATCCACAGCGGCTTGCACACAACTCAGCATTTTACTGAAGCAGTCTTGAGTATGACGTACGTCAAGGGTACAAAATCAGCAACTCGCCTGGGATTTGAACCCACAATCTCCCAGTTACGAGTACAGAGCCCTGATCAAAGGTTAATGCCGGTTGGAGAGGCAGCATCTCTCACTGACGCACCTGGAAGCAAACCCCGGACAGTCTGCTCATGACGAAGCTGGAGCTGCAGACCTCTAGACTATAGAGGTTGACCCTCTCTCCAAGAGGGAGAGATAGACAGCTCGCCATTACAGACCAGCGTGACTCATATCACCTACGCCTGCTGGCTGTTCTAAGCAGTGCTGTGGAAAGTTACTTTTAGAATTTAAGCCTTTACCACTGCAAGCACGTGCATAAAGGAAATACTTTTCCAATTTAACAAGACTGTGGGTGAAAGAAAAACTCAAAGGTCATCAGTTACAGTGATCTATATAGTATGCAACTACATGATATAATATTTCCACCCAATAGCAGTTTTCCCCCAAGAAATTTAAAGGAGTTGTTCCTTGCACAAGTAACTTGTAACTGTAATGGATTACTTTTCGGAAGTAAATTTCCCAACACTGGCTGTACATAATCAAACAAGAGAGACTAAAACATCTTTAAGTCTGAATAAGCAAACCAACCTGATGCAGCTCTAGGACTAAGACAGCAGAATCTTTAGGAATTAAGCGGTTTAACATGGGAAAAAAAACACCTCATTAACTGATTATCACTGAAAGCAGAGACGCCTCCTGTCCCTTTAACAGTCACACTGCTGTGTCAAGACAAAGGGGTGTCTCAGTACGTTCTGCGCACATCACAGATCTAAAATGGCGAAAGCGTGCCAGATCTTTCAGAGCACTTACACAGTGGGGATCCAGCGCCCACTCTTCCAGCGTTTTCTCCGCGCCCCCACAGAGGGCATCGGGGTAGGAGAAGGGCCCCTCCGCCCCCAGACTGCTCTCGGCCATCACCTCCTCCTCCTCCTCCCCCTGCTGGCCGAAAAACACCCGCCCGCTCTCCGCATCCATCTCCTGAACGGCAGAACACAAGAGAGCCGGAGATTTGCATTAACGAGGGAAACGCACCTGCGGCCCTGAAGCCCTGCCCACAGGCACACGCAGACGGGAGAGCTGAGAGCAGGCGCCGGCTTCTTCATCCGACATTTCTAACCCGGTGCCAGAGGGCAGCATGGTGGCGCAGTGGTCAACACTGCTGTCTCACAGCGCTGGGGCACTGGGATGCTCTCTGTGTGGAGAATCCTGACACTTCTATAGCACTTTTCTGGACGCTCCACTCAAAGTGCTTTACAGGTCATGGGGATCCCCTCCACCACCACCACCAGTGTGCAGCCCCACCTGGATGATGCTCCAGTCCGCTCCCCACACACCAGCTCTCAGTGGGGAGGAGAGCAGAGTGATGAAGCCAGTTCAGAGAGGGGGGTTATTAGGAGGCCATGACTGGTAAAGGCCAGGGGGGAATTTGGCCAGGACACTGGGGTAACACCCCTACTCTTTTCGAGAAACACCCTGGAATTTTTATATAGTATTTATACAGAGTCAGTATCTCTGTGTTACGTCTCATCCTAAGGACGGGGCTTTTTTACAGTACACTGTCCCCATCACTGTACTGGGACATTAGGACCCACACACACCGCAGGGTGAGCGCCCCCTGCTGACCCCACTAACACCTCTTCATTTTCTCCCTGTGTTTGTGTGAGTTTCCTCCAAGAGCTCTGATTTCTCCCCACTGTCCAAAGACATGCTGGTAGGTGAACTGTCTTCTTGGAAAACTGGCCCTGGTGCGCGTGTGTCTGTGTGTGTCTGCCCTGTGATGGACTGGCGTCCCGTCCAGGGTGTACCCTGCCTTGTGCCTGTTGCTTGCTGGGATAGGCTCTGGCTCCCCCACGATGTGAGAAAGAGGCACCTGTGCCTCTCTGCGCAGGACAGAAGAGGCACGCTGCCCGGCGAGGAGGCTCGGGTGCCGTGTTTGCCCAGGGCGGCTGTGCGGAGCCTCAGGAAGAGCTGCTGCTCGGGCTCTGTTTGCACACTTCTGGAGCCACCATCCCCCCGCCCCCCTCCACACACGTGACAAGGATGTCTGCATCCTGGTGGGAAAAAAACTATCCTGGAGTCAAGGAATTCAAATTCCACCCTTTAGTCCTTCTTAGGTGACTCATCTTGCTGCAATGAATCATTGACTTCAGCCTGGTTTACTTCTGTGTACATGCAGACTTCATATATAACCCACGCTAAAGATCAGAAGAAAACCAAGCACAATGTCAAGAGACCATTTAGCTCTCCTTGTTTGTGTGAAAGCTAGAAGCTAATTAGTCAGAGGATCTCAAATAGACATTTTTTATTAGAGGCCAGGGTGGCCTTCAACCACATGACCGGGCTGCTTGTGCCATACCCCCACAACTCTTTGTGTAACAACCTTCCGCCTGCTCCTAGTTGTATGTTCACTTGCCCTTGTGAACTCTGAAGGTGCACCTTTTTACATTTTAATTCACCATTTGTTAGCTTTTTTTCCAAAACCAGGCTCTCCGTGGGTCATTCTGAGCATTTCACCTGCTAACACCCCGACTTTAACGATTAAAAATAAACGGACACAAGACACACAAGCTATAACTTTTCAAAGGCACCTCTGACGTTTGTTCTTCGGATTCCTCAGAAGGAGATGGAGGTCTCAGGGAGCCTGAATTCACAAGCCTGGGTCGGACATTCTCCCTCACCTGCACGACTCCGGGAGGTTAAGCTAACGAAGAGAAAACTTGCTTTTCGTGTTGGGTTAGCAGTTTGTCACCTGTCCTTCTCTTCTTTAAACCACGAGGCCCTGCTGCAGTGCTTCATGAGTTATCAACCAAATGCGATCTGCAATCGCCCCCCCCATCTGTTAAAACGCACAGCACATGGCAGACACATCAAAATCAAGACGTGGTCAAGCACATCCAGAAAACATGACCGTTTTTTCTTTTAAAGAAAAGCCCAGCACCAGCAGCTGGATGCTCTTCTCTGCTGCCCGGCCCTTGTAATGCCTCCATTCAGCTCCCCTGCAAGAACTACGGACTTTGTCCCCAACTATAAGAACAAATTCTCAGCTCAGACCTTTGCCCTGTCTATTCCAGTCCTCCCAGCTGTAAGAAACGGGTACAAGCTTTTCTAGAGTAACAGCCTAAAGTGGAAAATGACATCCCAGCCAGTGGGATCCTTGTACCTTGACTGACACCACAACAAAATTGATAGATGGGCTCCAGCCGGGACTTTCTTAGGCCTTATAATTAACTTAAAGACACAAATGTGGATCAAACCCTTAAAGGAAGAAGTTCTGTGCCCAAATGCAAAAACATCTCTGCCTGCCTTTCCCATAGTGATCCTTGTTCCTGTCCTAGTTAAGTCGAATGAGATCCTGTTCCAAGTTTTGTAAAGGGAAGTATATTGCGTGCACTACTGGACAGACAACATCACTGTTCCCCCTCTGTGTCTTTTCCTTCTAGAAATGACAGGTCAGTCTCATTTGTTTTATTGCTGGTTGGTTTTTTGTGCCCAGGATGCAATCAAAAACATTTCTTGCTCCATGCACCCGCAACTCTCTGTGTGAAGACACACCTCCTGTTCGGTGCCCCTGAGCGAGAAAAGCACCCCTCAATCCTATTAACTATCCCCCCTCTGACACCAGCCGGTAAAACAACAGAGAGCAACGTTTCACAAACAGGAACAGGCAAAACACATCCTTTAACAACCACACATTACAAGTAGGCAGCCCTTAACTAGCTGAGAGGCGAGAAAGACTAGCTCTTAAAGTTAAAATACAGATCAGGTGTGAGTACTGTCTCTACCTTTCTAACTCTGTCTCATGTAGTGGTTTACTCAGGTCTAGCTACTGCGAAGAATAAGGACAATTTGTTCAAGGTGAGCAATACCGTTAAATATCCACTGATGTCCATGATCTTCAAAACTTGAGAGTGGTGTCCCTCAGGTATGTCTGTCGCTCAGCACAGCGTCCACAACTTAGCATACTCGACAGGATAACAAGGGTGCCGCTATCACAAGCACTTCGAAAAAAGCAACCTGCGCACTTTGTGAAGAGCTAGTTAAACTGCCTTGCTCAGCAATGCACGGCGCGACCACGGATTTCGACACGAGAGCCTCACCTACCTTAGGGTTTTGTCTAACTGTGGGCGGAGAGTTACAGTAGCTGCCCAGCCGGATAAACAAGAACTACATTGTTATCCGAGCAGTAATAACCAAATCCTCGGTTCTCCCTGCTTTCTGCTTGATCCTGTGCCTTCTTTAAACGGCAGGTAATTCACACCCTGGACTCTGATCTAAATACCGCCTGCCGCAGCCGCAATGCACGTAGGATGCATTTTTAAAACTTGTTTTGCAGCAGACAAGAGTATACCTCACTCGCACATTCGCTTCATTACCAGCTGAACTCCTTTTTTCCAGCTTGGCACCTCTTCTGTCAATCAAACGACGTGAGGCGGGGACAAAAGGATGGGTTGACGCCCACCCTACTTCCGATTGGTCGGAGTTAATCACATGATCTAGGACAAGGACGACATGATGTGTTCGATTGGGTGGAAGGGTGGATTCGCTTGGCTGCGATTGGCTTCCAGTGTGTTAGAGAGTGCAGGTCAGGGTACAGTTAAGCGAACCGGAAGTGTTTATGAAATGCGTGCAAATCGGTTCGAGTTTGTTTTTTTACCTCCTGGAGGGTTTGTTTGACGGCAAAGTCCAACACAACTAGACAACAAAAAACGGACAGACATCACCAGGAAAGAACACAGTACATGAATGTTTCGGGAGATAAGAGGGTTATGTCACATTGAGAGTGAGATTGCAGAGAGGATGAAAGATTTTCTTAGTCTGAAAAACAAATTCCTGAGTCTTTTAGTGGTACACCTGGGGACACAGAGGCGTCTCGGAGATGGGTGTAGTGTAAATTCACAGTGTAGGTGTCAGGGGCTTCTCACACACTCTGGATACTCTTAGCTTTCTTTACAGGAGAGAGCATTTGGGTTATCCAAGTTACTTTTCCATACGGCAATAGCCAATCCCTGCTCGCCGACAGTCCCTGCTTCACCACGCCTCTCCTCCCCAAATCTTTTTAAATACGGCTCGGTCAGGCGGTGCTCAGTATTGTTACAACATATGTCAACACGAACACAAGGAATCATTTGGGTTTGAAACGGTGTTCATCGCTCTGTGTTTCACAGTGAAAGCGTTA